AGGTGCAATCCCGTATTCCTCGGACTCGGACTAGTAAAACTGTCAAAAAATAAAAATTCGCTCAGAGCGAGAGAGTAACATTGAAAAGTACGGGATCGCTTCCTAGTAAAAAATTTTAACTTCTGCCAACTTCAACATAACCTCCAAATTTTGGTTGTAAATTTTTGCTTAGATTGTATGTAAACACACTCAGCTCACACATGTAAATAACCAAATATACTTTCAAATTCATTAGAATCCACTTAAACAAGTAATTAAATACTTTTCAACATGAATTAGCAGAGTGCACTTTTCTTTTGTTTACAATTTGGATGCTAAACACACTACAGCTGATCGTTTGACACATTTACCAGAATTTACCAGCGTAAAATTCTCGGACTAAAACTGGCAACTTCTGACAGGTATTTACTCTCTTTTGTGTCCTCTCAATAGTCAGAGAACCGAGTACGGGATCGATTTCCAGTAAAATCTGACTGATTCTGACTAGTCCGGCCTCGTGCGGGATCGCAACTAATAATAACTCCGGGTTGCGTAGATCTGACGATCTGGGAAAAGGCGGAAACGTCCGATGCATCGGTTTTATTCGATGTATCGAATAGCAAAGATCGATGTTTCCGATATATCGATGTACGTTTTACATCCCTAAAACTCTAATCTGAAATTAAATTTTAATAATATCGGTCTCTTCTACCTATTAACAATGTACACAAAAAAAGTTTTCCCGATTTTACGAAGCATATTGACACAAGACTTCCATTTGGCACATTTAAAATTTTTGCCTGGTTTCGCAACAACAAATGATGTTCAGCACATGCCCTCCATCCGCTTGCCCCCGCAGGGACAGCGAACCTCAATATGCTTTTCACAAATACGATGTTATGCAAAAAGCAAAGATAAAAAAAAGGAGAAAGGTAAAAAAATCCCCAAAGTTGAAATCAATGAAAGCCAACTCCGTGAAGTGCTAAACTTCGATGCGGTAAATGGACAAATGCAAAAGGCGGTGCAGCAAATGAAGGAAGATTTTATAAAACATTTGTCATTACGTTCTACTTCTGGAGCTATAGAAACTTTGCGTGTTCACATTGATGGGTCTGAACACGAATTGCAAGAACTTGCGCAAATTTCTCGGAAAAACCCTAAGACTATTGTGGTTAATATGATTGCGTTTCCTCAAACTATACCTGATGTATTAAAAGCAATTGATAGTAGTGGTATGAACCTTAATCCGCAACAAGATGGAACTACACTATTTATTCCTATACCAAAGGTGACAAAGGAACATCGAGAGAATCTAGCAAAAAACGCAAAGGCCCTCTTCATCAAGTATCGAGACGCTATACGGGATATACAAAATAATAACATAAAAAAACTAAAGAAGCAAACGGATATATCTAAAGATGATATTTTTGCTATCCAGACACAACTAACTGCTATTGCAGATAAATACGTGGAAGAAGCAGACAAATTATTAACAACAAAGCAAAAAGAGCTACTTGGCGAATGAACCGACCCGAGCGGGGCTTAGTATCCGCTACAACAACAATAACAACAACAGCTACTTTTCGAATCGTAAGCCAGGACTGAATAAAAATAAAAATGTAAATAAATATGTTTTTTAGACATTTTGTTAAGTACATACATATTCGCTGCCAATGAAGTTGGTCAGCAGATTTCGTTCAACTTTTGATTCAAGTTATCGCCTGTGAAAGAGTAATCCTGTTAATTCCCTATTGCTCTCTAATTTATGGGCGTTTTGGTTTTTATGGCACAAATGTAGGCATCAAGTGCTTATGCCGACTCTGCAGATGGCTTAGAGCAATTTATTATTATTATTTTTTGTCGGAAATAGAATTTGGTTCTATAACTAGGATATTATTAGAACTTGAGAACTCCGCTACAGCATTTAATCAAAAAGCAAAAATACGTAATCATGAAATTCTTTAGTATAACTCAACAATGTTAAAATGTCGTTATAATTTTTGTGATGGAATTTGAACGAACTCACCTGTTCTATATTATCTGAATTCCTTTCAAGTAGCTTATTGAAAGCTATATTTTCTTTCTTTAACTTTTCACGGAAATTTAGAGTTTTTATTTTGCTCTGATTTCCAATAACGTATTCTTGTGTCTTAATGACGGACGCATACACCGCATCAATCTTGCTGTACCAAGTCTTCAATTCACTTTCGTTGTAGGATCGAGTAGCTTCTGAAGCCTTTTCAAGTTGGGAAACTTTAGTTTTGAGCCGTTCATTTTCACCCATAAGTTCTGTCACCTTTTTTATATAGAAATCTTTTGGCATATTTGACTTAAGAACATTCTGCTTCAATGTTGTACGAATCTTCTTCGCCCGACTGGCATACTAAAAATATAGATGTATACCATTTAAATGTGCATAAACAATAATATAACAGAAATAGTTACTTTTAACGTATTGTAGGTGTCTTCATAAGTCAACGAACTCATCGAAACGTTAGCGACCATTAAAGTTTGACAATTTCCTCCGAGGGAATCCTTAAGAATACGAGTCAAATTTGAATCGCGGTAGGGAATATGTTTCATTCCATCTGCCAACTTGTTTATACAGTTTCCCAGCGCCAATAAACTTTTATTAATACTTGCACCTTCCTTGAAACGAACACCAATACCTTTTGTACTGGCAGCTCGTTCGCTTCCCGCTAAATCGATCATTGATAATTTAACTGTTCGCTTAGTTCCGGTTTTTCGGTCCGTCATTCGAATATGCACTTGGAATATAGCATGCGAACGTGAACTTTCTGCATTGGCATCTGTCGGATGTTGGGTGCGATTTGAGTTACCTTGCGTCAGAAGTTGTAGAAGCTCATCGGCGCTATAAATTGGCTTTAAGACAAGTCCACTAACAACAACTCCATTCGAATCCTCTCGTAGTTTTAATGGCCCAGTTTTGGTCAAAAGGTTCATTACTAATTCGTTGTATACCTCCAAATAACTTACACCTACATCAAACTTATGAGTCGCACTTTGGGCTTGGATTTTTTCAAATAATTCGCGCATAGTTAGGTATGTTAGGCCTGGGCAAGAGTCATTGCCTAACATTGTAAAAGTTTTCCCTGCTCCAGTGGCACCATATACAAATACCGAACAGTTATACCTACCAAGCATTAATACGCATTTTTAATTGAACTTAAATCATTTACAGAAGTTTATATACTAACCCGTTGAGAACAGAAGCAACTAAAGGAGAAGTGCATTGCTCAAAAATTTGTTGATTAGTTGTTCCTGGGTCAAATACACTATCAAAGTCCATACTAATTTTTTTGTTCACTCGTTTTGTAATGTCGCGGTAGTTTTGCTTCATTCCTTGGAAAAAGAACTCATCATCTTCTTCATCTGGATCAAAAAGGAGCGTGCTATTGTCCAACACTTTGACAATTTGACGCTGATTCTGTTCCAACTCCCTTCGATTGTACGGTCGCACGCGCACAACCACTTTTATATTGGTTTGCTCTCCTGACATTTAATAGATTTTTTTTGGTTATGAGATTATTAATTAATTTCAAAATAAGATAAGATTTCCTTATAGCGGCTTGTTTTTGAGTGGCAAATTCGCTTTCTGCCGCAAGTTTGAAAATCCAACTGTTTTGATGAAACAGAAGGTTGGCAGCATTGATTTACCTTTTGCACCAATGCTGCCACATATTTATAACAAACTGCTAATGAATGTTAAAAGCGTGGTTAGACGTAGCAATGCAAGCGCTTTTTCTACGAATTGTGGGAACATGTGCAGACACGTATATTTTCGAAAAAAAAAACATAAACTCGTAAAGTCTTAAACTATGTAAAACTCGTAAGTTTACGAGGCATTTATGAAACCACCCTCTTTGCGAAAAGGTGTAAATAAGTGCGTAAAGTGACTGTTGGACAGATCAACCAGGATTTTGTGAAGCGAATTTGTTTCGTAGAATTTTCCATAACATCTCGCCATCTTATCTCTATCACTCTTGGCAAAAATACAATCAAATATTCCGAAAATTAGTAGAAAACTTAAGTCGATATAGTTAGTGGATGAAATTCATTCATTTTATTCGCGTATAATTTTTTTCATTCATTTTTATTATTTTATCATACATTTTAGTATACAAATTTCGGCCACTCGACAACACTGAAGTTTACGAGGTCGTTTGCGCATCGAATTAGCCTCGTAAATAGAGCTCCATATAAATTTTTACAGTTCTTTTACGAGGCTCGTAAATTTACGAGGATTACGAGGTTTTTACGAGTGTAAGGGTAGACCCCTAGTGGATCCATATTGATGGATTAATGGATCGCGCACGAATGCTACATGTTCAATATTTATCGGCTAAGTATTTGCATAATTTTTGTGCTGAAAGCTTATTATGACGCAGGAAAGTATTTTTATTTTGTACGTATAATTTACAGATTATGCATTCCACAATTATTTTAAAATTTCCAATGTTAATTAAAATTTGTTTTGAAAGATTTTAAGCCCAGAGAGCGAAGGCAGAGCCGATGTTCGCATTATGAGAGTGAAAGCTTTACTGACGAAATGTATGGGTCACGTTTTGAAAGTGCTACACGTTCAATATTTACTGACGGTATTGCGATCCGCGATCCAAATTTAAAATTTTTTAGAAATTTTGCGATATGGATCACGATCCATCAATACTGCATGGTACACCGTCAATAAATATCGCGATACTTGGATCACGTCAATAAATACTGACCATGTGACTGGGCACAATATCAAAATGATGTGTTTGTTGTATAAAAGGTGAATTCATATTACAACAAACACATAATTTTGTCATTAAGGGCCTGTGCCAATCGGTAACTTTTTTCTCCGTGGTGAGACGGGGTGGAAAAATTTGCTATGGTGTACAAATAAATTGAATTTTGCTGTGCCAAATGCAGAGTAAAATTTTGACAGTTGAAAAACCAAACAAACGCTCGTGCGAAAGCTTTATTTTTGTGTGTTGCTGAAATTCTTAAAATTTATATTTATTTTATAATTTGCAAGTAACGTACGCTTTTTTNTAAGCTGTCAAAATTTTACCTAGCCCGCTAGGTAAAATTTTGACGTTCGTATTCACCACGAGAAGTGTCAAATTTTTACTTTGAACCGTCAAAATTTTCTATTTTCTATCAATTGCCACAGGGCCTAAGAAGTACCGCGACGAAAATCTAAATTCGCCATCAACACCCATGAACGAAAGACACAAGATCACGCCTTCCCAAAATAAAGAAAGTTATTTTATAGCTGTTGAAATTTCGACGCCATCTTTGTTGTAAGAAGTAAACAAAAAAAAAACGCGTAATTGTTGAACGCATGAATAATCATTTTTATTATGCAAATTCTTCTATAAATCATGTCGTTAAGTTAAATTATTCTTTACCTTATGTGTGCACACGTTGTCACAAGCGAAAGTTAAGAAAATTGCAGTAAAAAGCCACCACCAAATAATAAGCAACGAACAAATGTAAACAAACGACTAATGTCAAAGTCGCCCAACTTTTTTCCTAAATGAGATTATAACGGGCTACTAAGAAGAAGGCGTGATCTTGTATTTTTGGTTCATGATCAACACCACCTTGTATAAATTCGCCTTGCGTTTAACTTTTGCGTTCAACTCACTCAGGGTTGCACGAAAAAAAAGTTGAATGCCGTTGGCTGGCGACCAACTCTGTTGAAAGCAAGGCGCATCCATACAAGGTGGTGTTGATTGCATATAAGTAAAAGTCCCGTGTATTTTGTTATTGCTTTTTGGTACAGGAGGATGTCAAAACGAAAGGGAATAGGAGATAATTTTCATCATTTTCTTTTGTTGACATCCTAAAGTTGCGCCGCTTCGTCTTGGATGACATTCTCCTGTACTAGTGTAGAGACAAAAATATCCAACCAGCTGATCAATCAACACCACCTTGTATTGATTCACCTTGGTTGAAAGCGATTAGTTGAAAGGCCGTTCAACAAAGTAGAATGCAAAGTTGAACAAATCAGAGGCCCTTTTATGGCGAATATTTTCATAATTTTTTATATTTTGCTATTTTTAACAATTAATTTTATTTTTTCGTGCAACCCTGCGTGAGTTCAATGCAAAAGTTGCCTAAAAAATCGCCTTGTGCGAAAGCCCTATAAAATTAAATGAAATCGGGAGCAACGGCAACACTGCAGTCATTCAATCAAACTGTACGCCATTTTTATTTTACTTGGAATCGCATTGTCAAGAAATTTGGCAATTTGCGTCCTTTTTGAGAGTGGAATTATATCAAAGCAACTTTGCCGAAGACTAGGCCCGTGCAACTTACGTTGAAAATATATACATATTAGAAGGAAGGGTTATTGTAGCGATAAATTATGAGTTCTGTTTTGTTTGCTTGCTCCAAATGTTTTTCGCGACATCCATTCGAGGAATTGTCTGCGGGCCAACAGCTATGCAAGGTAAAAAAAGAACATTTTGCAATGACAAAACAAAAAATTAACAAATATGTTTTAAGTACTAAGTATAAATTTATTCGAAATCTGACGCCAAAGTTGGTATTCCTCACGCCTTCCAAAGCAACTGCGCAGTTTTGCGAAAAATATTTAGGAGAAAGTAGCATTTTTTATTTGTATATAAATACATATATACAAAACATCTATATGTTAAAGTAAATTGGTGAGAATTATTCAGACGTGTTAAAATCTAATATTTTTTTCAGAATTGCCGGGGAAGTAGCTCAATTGTGAAATGTACTTATTGTCGAACCGAATTCCAACCAACAACGTAAGTAGCTAATTGGCGCCATAACATTGTAAATTGTTCCTCACAAATGCATATGCGATGTTTTTCAATTTCTAGAAAGTCCCAGAGTGCCTGTAAGAAATGTGAGCACTGCCTCAACAAGTATGGCAAACCCAACGCCTGTGAATGCTGCAAGATCGTAGCGGCGTTCGGAAGCTCTAAATGCATAAGGTCAGTATTTAATAAGCATTATTTGCCAGTCGAATAATACAACTTATTTTAAGTAAAGCTTTATAAGATATCAGTCAATAAGGGATGCACAAAATACAAAGTGATTTTGGGTTTGATGCATGCCAGTGTTTCTTTTCAATATAAACGTCTTGTTCAGGTATATTTAGTTGTAAAAATTTAATTAAATTTCCTAAATTGTAAAATCATTTCACTTATGTAGGTATACCTTCTCTCATATTGTACGTTCGGCAATTTACCAACGAAAATTCGTTAGCTGTTGAATGTTTATTAAATATTGTAGTCTATAAGTAGAATATTGAAAACCCCTTTAAAATTGCAACGTTTATGAACGCAAACATTTCTTCTTTTTTTCCTGTTCCATAAATTTTCCTGTACCTTGCCTGTAAAATGCAATGAATGATAGATGTGCAACGTACGAAGCAAAATACGGCCCACCAATACAATGTGATGAATGCAAGCAGCGATGTGCTTTCGATAAGCGCGACGAGAACAAAAAGGTTAGACAAGCAATGACAAAGGCTTAAAATTGTTAATACATGCCTATATGTACAAATAATATCGTTTAAAAAGTACACTTAATCCAAAGCTTATAAACTTTAATTAAAAGTTTTATGCACATGTGTCACTATCATTATTTTGACTATAACTACGGGCCAAAGCCTTTTACTTAAAATCTAGGCTATACGTATAAGCAAAATGTACAAGAGTTTGTGTAGAAATGTGTGCGTTCGTAAACTAATGCTAAAATGTACTTATAGTTTTGTAGCCTTAAGCGCACAGTTTTGTAAAACCTAGCTTATGAAAGTATTTTCTCACAGATTAACGGCAAATTGCTTTGTTGGCTGTGCACAAATTCGTTTAAGCGGGCTCTCTTAAAAGCTCAACAGGACGGCAGAATATCAGCGAAAAAACGACCACATGAAAAAATACACAGAGATAGTTCGACGAATTCGGCAAAAAAATCATCCCGACCATCTGCAGATGTAAAAGGAAGCAGTGGCGGTGCTGGGGGAGGAAGTAGTGCAGCTATCGCTTCTTCAGGCGGAGATCTGCCCGACAAAGTGTCACGCACTGGATCTGGAGGAAGCGGCGGAAATGGCAGTGGTAATGGATCTGGAATCGGACTGGGCTCTATAGCGGCCCCAGCAGTTATCACAATTGATCCAAATTCCGCTGATCATGTAGTGGCTATGACTAACTTAAAAGAACGTATTGCCAGTCTGGAAAAACGCCTTCAGCAAAAGGACAAAGAATTACTTGAAAAAGACAAATTGGTAACACATTCACATTAAAAATAACATTCATATTAACTTTCTGAAGCTTTACTTGTAGTTAACAGAGCTAAAAGGCAAGAATTTCGAAAAAGAAATAGAAATGCGCAACAAATTGAAGGAAGTCGACAGATTGCATGAAATGAAAGTGGAGAATCTTAATCGAAAAGTTAGTAGTTTATTGAAAGAATTAGCATCTGTGAAGAAGAGCACAAAGAAGAATGGCACAAGTGGAGGTTCAAATGCCAAAGAGCGCCAGAGCGAACGTGAAAAACGAGAAAACCTTTCTCCAAAAGATGAACTTGTCGAAGAAGAGCAACAGCGAGAAAAGGAAATAAAAGAAGAGAAAACGGAAAAAGAAGATAGTAAGAGTGACGATGAACAAGATCAGGAAGAAAAAGGGAGTGTTGGATCTGGTTCGAATAGCCCATCTACAAATTGATTGTAACAAAACGATATGTTAGTTAAATTTTACAACAAAGTTTTACGAGTATATATGTTACCGGCCAAACTCGATCTTAGGACAAACTAGTTTTGCCTAGGCTAAACTAGATCAGGGGCCTTAGTATATTTGCGCGGAACATCTTTCCGCGTAGGCGGCCTTTGTGCGCGCTTCAAAAAAACTTGTTTCCGCGTTGGACGTTTAGCCTAGGAAAAACTTGTTTGCTCTTAAGACCGGGGTTTGGCCGGTAACATATACAAGGCTTTGACATCTATTCCACTCAATCGAGCTGTTTTACAGTTTCGGGAATAATCGTATCAGTTTTTGAAGAAATAACTAAAATAAGCTGTCTCAACGTTTTTCATTTAGGTAATGAAAATGTATCATACATAAGCCATGGATGTTGATTTTTGAAATTTTCGCCAGTAAAATATTTTCTGTAAGATTTTATATTTCTTTTGTTACCTAAATTGTAGTTTACTTTAATAGTTCTTTCGTATGATTAACACATTTAATAGTTTAAAGTTTATTCCTCCAAATAGTTTATATTCCGGCAGGTTCTGCAATTCACTTCGGAGACAATTTGAGTCAGGTTCGCTTTGAATTCAAATTGGCAGGGGTTGAGGTTCATTCAGGAGTGAATTGCAAAACCTGCCCGAATTTCATTTTTTTTTTTTTTGTAACGTGTGAGCTTTGTGGCACCATTTTTTTAGCAGATAACTTATTTAAGTGAAGTGGAAATCCCTTAAATTGAATAAAGAACATACAAAGAAAACTTGGATATTGACATAGCGTTAAAGTTTATTAGTTCCGTATATAGGGTGCGTTCAGACATGCATCAAGCCAAAACATCAGGCTTTTATTTCTATACTGCAATTGTTGGAAATGTCCAATACGCGCAACCACGGTTACATTGAGCGTTGGAACTTAGTTCTCTTAATAAGGAATTTCCATAAATTATAATTTAAAAATGAAAGAGACTGATGCTTTGTCTTGATGCATTTCTGAACACACCCATATTTGCGTGGATATTGCCTTTCTAAAATCATTGACGTAAAGCATCAGAATTTTCAACTTTTAAACTATATTTATAGAATATTTACCATATAATATAACGATGCTTTACAATAACGTTATTAGAAAAAAGCACAGATACATATGTATGTATGTGTACACATATGCTTTATCTTACAATACATTGAGTCATACATAAGATTTGCTTTGGTCTAATCTTTATGGTGGTCAAATGATCAATGCGGCTTCGGTTTGTGGCCATCCACATAGAAGTTTCTTGTCGCGTTTGGCAACTGTAATTCTATACCGTCCAGCTCTTTTGTTAAAACAATTTGACAGCCAAGTCGTGAGTTTTCTCTAAGGAATGGCGCCATATCTAGTAAGTCATCTTCTTTCTCTTGCGCTGCAGGTAAGTAGTCGTAATATTTTCCGATTACATAGACGTGACAAGTCGTACATGCCAATGATGCCTCACAAGCACCTTGAAAGAGATAAATAAATATGCTAAAACATTTTCACAGCCAGTACAAACCTTCCATCTCAATGCCGTGGCGGTGGGCCAAGTACAGTACATTATCTCCTACCTTTCCTTTGACTTCCGTTCGATTCCCATCTTTGTCAATATAAGTAACATTTACACTGTAAATTGTGCAATATATTTATTTAATTCTATACTTAAATTACTTTTTGAACTCATAGAAGTTTTGCGTACATTTCATCTTTCGATTTGGGATCTTGCCACTCGTATTCTCCATGAAGCATTTCTGGAATAAGGTGATACAAAGTTAGCGTTTCATGACCTGTTACATAAGAGTTTACTGTTTGTAGTGTGGATCCATCTTTGTACTGCTAAACGCTTATTCGAGTGTGTGTAATTAACTGGAGTATTCCTAAATTGTCGCAACAGTAAGCGGAGCATTTTAGATAATTTTGAGGTTATTGTAAACAGCTGACCAAACTGAATCTATAAGCTGTGTTTCACAACAGAAAACTATTCAAATTTTTTACTCGATTCTGCTGGAAAGCCTTTCTTAACACAAAAAAATTGCAGAAGTGCAAGAATGATCTTGCATCTTGATAGCTGTCGCAATTTAACACACAGCACTTCATTTTTAGTTTTTACGCAGTCTTCAACTGATTTTTCACTTATAATTCAAATTTCTCTTTCGCTGATTTGTAAACAAAGGTTTATTTACAAGTTACCACAACTGTCAAAATCGGCAAAACCAAAGTAGCGGTACCACTGACGGCGCCACCTGTACATATGTATATGAGTGATGAGGGCACTGCTCAATCGAGTAAACTTTGCCGACCATAAAGGTCTGATTATGCATACTTCGCATAACTTCGCACTACCTTTTGTACCAGTGCAATAAAAATGCAACTTAAGAAAACGTGAAGCAAAATCTAAACTCAACAGATTTCTAAGTTTTTGAATGCTCTGCTAATTTCTGGGTAATGGAATACAAACAAAATACGTGCGAAGTACATACGAAAATAATCGGATCATAACAGTAGCTACACACGACGAGCATATCCGCGCACATGCGCGGCTTGCGGGTCATGCTCGTCGTTTGTAGCGTGGTTTGCGAGCATCGCATTGGAAACAAAAACAACAACCTCACATTGTGTTGATGCTTGCAGTGTGCACATCGCGGATAAATGCATCCAAGCCATGTGCGTTAATTGAATTTTTGATAAATGAGGCTAAATTACTATATGTATATGTATGTNATTCTAGACTCAATTTCCGCAACTTAACGAAACTTGCGGAAATTGAGAGCGGTTAGAGAATCAGGCTTGCCAGCCTCTCGTTTTGGTATTTCTTAAAAAAAAAAAANGCTCGTCGTGTGTAGCTACTGTAAAAGCCTGGAAACACGCGAGACACTCAACTTGTTCACCAACAGCGTTGCCAGGTTCATGTTTTTAACGTCGTTTGGACGTTTGGGCGTTTTTTGTGTAAAAGATTACGTTTTTTAACTTCCCAGTAATTTTTCTCTATGCACAATATATTCAATGTATAGCGTACTATTTGCTTGTAGAGTAAGTACTTATGCTCACACTTTCGGCAGATTTAGAAATTTAGAATCTTGAAATTTAGAAATTTAGAATCTGATCTTGAATTATTTTCTTAATAATCTTTACAAGCTTTGTTTTTTGCAGCAGGTGCCTCAAAAGATATTTTCCTTTGGACACATATAATATACAAGAATGATAGAATAAAGAGATTGCGCTTTGCGCAGGTCCGTTACTCTTGTTTACAAATCAGCTGTTCGAGTGTTGACGTCATAATATAAAATTTTTGGTGGGAAGCGTATTGGTTTGCGAGGGAAACGTATTGGTTTGCGAGGAAAACGTATTGATTTGTGATATTTTTGTTAAAGTTATAAAATAAAAACGTTGTAAAATGAAGTGCGCAGTTGCGAAATGTGGAAAAACGGCGGCAGAGTGCAGTTTGTTTACTTTTCCTTCAGATCCAGAACTTAGGAAAAAGTGGATCCAGTTCTGCCGGCAAAGCAAGGATTTCCAATTTAAAACTTGCTATATTTGCATGCATCACTTTGCAAGTGAAGATTTTGAAAATAGTCTGCAGTTCGAAATGGGTAGGANCTCGTTTTGGTATTTCTTAAAAAAAAAAAATAAATGAAAGCAAACATTTTTGTTTGTATGATTTTTTTTTGATGGGGCATTTTAGGTGGTTAACTGTTAAACAGCTGAAAGAGAAAATACTAAAACAAAATATTTTCGGTATTACGGTAACTTAAATTAAGTTAAGTCTAGACTAACCGAGCTTTTAAATATGATGCAAACCAAGCGTGGGCGCATTTTTTTTTTTCTTGGACTAAGGATCCCGCGTTCAAAGGCTGGTTGTGTGAACACTTGAGGTTACAAGGCTTATTACAATGTTTGTAATTGCATATTAAGAGCCAAATCAGGAAGAGCTGATCTATTGCAACACGCACGCTCGCAAATCACTATATTCCTTCTTATCAGAAGGTTATTTAGCATTTCCGACAGCCAACGTCCCAACCAAACGTCTAAACAAAAAAAAAAAAAAAAATATGCAATGCAACTCCACATCGAACCCTTGCGAGCTCTCCATCATTCGTGTATTAAACCAAAGCCCCCGCAGTACTCCCCGAAGGGCCGTACCTCACTGAACAGACTGGAGTAGTGGTCCCCAGCCAGACTTGCTTGACCAGCTCGAGTCACGCAACCTACTAAACATAGCAGAATACACATGCTTAACCCCACAACTAGTAAGATCTGCCTTCTTCTTCTCNCCTTTGGACACATATAATATACAAGAATGATAGAATAAAGAGATTGCGCTTTGCGCAGGTCCGTTACTNGCAGAATACACATGCTTAACCCCACAACTAGTAAGATCTGCCTTCTTCTTCTCTTTACTTCCACACATTCACCAATTTCTACGGTTTACCACAAAAATTTACACCGTGTTTTCAACGTTTCTCTACCATTTTCAACAGTTTTCTCAACATTTTCATCCAGCTCGTCTCGCTCCTCTCACAAGACTTACTGATCTCATTCCACCCCGAGCTGTCCCTCCCGGAGTGAAAATCGGGTTTCAACCCTTGATCGAGTCACTTGACTCACCTCGTTCATTCTGCTCGTCCCGTTAACCTGACAGGTCTTACTGGCTTTACTGGGGAGCACTTTCCAGCCCGGGTGAACAATAGGCATGGAATTGCTCCTTTTCCGGTTTTCTACACCCGCTCGAGTAACTTGACAAGCCGCATTCTTCCTTGCAAATCTTACCAGCTGTACGATCTTACATGTGCATCTGGCCTGTATCGCGAGGAGATAATGGTGGTGGCTTAGCGTTCATCACGCACCACACCATGCAGAATCGTCTTATCGAAGCAGACATCGACCGCAAGGATACCACCCTAGAATGCCAGGGCATTGCTATTCGGTCAGGCGATGTTGAGCTCGAAATATTCAACGTATACATACCCCCTGTCCATGGGCGTAGCCAGGTAGGGGCTGGGGGGTGCTCGAGCCTCCCCCCTCCCCCCCTAACCATCAAATTTTCCTTATATATATAGAATAGTACCCTGAAATGCCAGCTTAATAGGGTTAAAATGCTCCCAATAAATCAGCATAACATAATGCTCAGCAAGCAGCTGTCTGTTTGGGTGGTCCGTCAGTGTCTCACAACCAGAAGGAGCCCCCGCCTAGGCACGCCAGGAGGCATCTGTACGAACTGGCGGCCGAAGTCCAGAGGTTCATGAAGCAGCCTCTGGACTCGTCAGCATTCCGACAGGCCCTGAACGGCATTCACAGGGACTCAGTCTCGAGTTATTTAGACTCTAGACCTGTGAATGCCGTTCTAGGCACACAAACACCGGACATTGACGTGACAGAGCTCCATCTGCCTCGGGAGACAAGAACTAATTATAGGCCTATTTCCAAACTTTCTACGGCATCGAAGCTGTTTGAATATATTATCAAACAAAAGTTGTATTTTGACGTAAGGCGTCACATATCTAATAACCAGCACGGTTTCATGACTGGCAGGTCAACCATCACTAATCTTGCTGTATTCACAGAATTTTGTTCGTCTGCTTTCGATGACAGATTCTAAGTCGATATAATCTATACCGACTTTTCTAAGGCTTTTGAAAAGGCAACCATTCAATTTTAATCCCCCAATTGCGCAGTTTTGGGTCTCATTCCATTTTTTTAAATGGATAAAGTCGTACCTTTCATGTCGTAAATGTGTAGTTGTGTTTGATAATGTTTCTTCCTATCCTTTTCTTGCCTCTTCTGGTGTCCCACAGGGCAGTATTCTGGGTCCATTACTCTTCATCATTTTTATTAATGATATATCTGATTTATTAAATATTATGTTACCAGGCTAGTCTGATCTATGTTTTTGTGCGAATAAAACTACATTATTCCACTTTCTGGCCCAACGTTTCGCTAAAACATTTTTACCATCTTCAGGGGCAATCCAGCTTTATTAAATCTGCCACAAACCAAAAATACAAAGGCACATTGTAATCAAAAATTAATGAATATAACATACCAAGGCACATTAAACAGGTAGTATCAGTAGAGCAAAAACAACATTTGCGTGTATTTTGTTGTTGCTTCTGGTATCGAAAGTGTCAAAAACTGTTATGAATTTTTTCTTCTAAATCAAAGCGTGTGAAATACAAAAAATTATAAAAAATAAAAAATTGAAATTGGAAAAAATAAAAATTGTTGCAACTTTTTTTCCTAGTAAATTTGTTTGCTTCTCGAAGCATTGATCCATCCTTTACAAGGGCCAGTAATCAGCGGTTGTGCTGCTGAGTTGGGCGAACGTTCCAAAAGCTGCTATTCAAACGCTTGTTTTATATGGAAAAAGGTTTCACATGCAAATGGATTTTAACAATTCAGAATTTTTGTGAGAAAAAATTAAAAATATTTGACATTTTCGAGGCCAAATAATTTGAAAATAAATCAAATCAGCTGCTCTACTGATACTACCTGTTCAATGTACCTTGTAACATACAAACATACATATACATATATGGAATTAAAAATTATATAAAAACAACAATTTGAGGACAAAAAACTCACAATGTTTAAGAACTTTGATTAACACCTAAATACAGCGCATCTGTACCATCTTTTGAGGTAGCTTTGTCAATACTAAAATAATAAACATTTTTATTTGTAATCATAAACAAGAAATGTAAGCGGTCGCAATGTTGTCCGTATCTTCTTTTCTGTTCATTGTATTTTTCCTTCTTTGCATTATCCTAAGGCTTTCTAGTGTATATCGGGTTGACTCCCTTCTTTATTTGTGTTTGCGAAATCAGCTGTGTCCACTTGTTATGATGTGTTGTGATAATGCTGTACTGCTTTTTTGTTTTCTTATATCTGCTTCATGTTCGCCTAGTCTAACACCTAAAGGCCGCTTAGTTGTCCCAATATGAACATTGAACGTTCACTTTTCTTTTTTCTTCTATGGAGGCAACATGAATTTCAGTTTGTTTACAAATAAAACATAAACAAAGTCAGCTGGTATGTCTTCTTCTTCCGGTTTTTGCAAGTAATGGCTAATTTCCTGTTCGTTTACCTTTTGCTTTTTCATCCCTTTTGGGAGAGAAT